ACAACATCTTTGTTTGTATGTGGTGCTGAGGATCGAACCTGGGTCACATGCATGCCAGGCGAGCGCGCTACCGCTTGAGCCACATCCCCAGCCCCTTGAGACAGGTTTTTGATGGCTTGCCCAGCCTGGCCTCAACCTTGGGATCCTCCTTCCTTGGTCTCCTAAGTACTAGGATGACAGGCATGTGTCACCACACCCTGCTCGCCCATAATCTCTTATTTTCTTATGTAAATTTCGAAAGTTTCTTTATGCATATACAAACACATAAAAATAGGAATTTATTATCCCCTCCTTTTCAACCAGCTTCTCCCATTCTGTCTCTTCTTTTTCCTGTGATGGCCTTTCTGTATTAGGACAGAGAGTGCTCACTGTTCCAGGTCATTCCACTGTCACAAGTCCCATGGCTTATTTAGCCAGTCTCTTGATGGGCACTTGGGTCATTCCCAATTTATCATAAACAATGCAATATCAATTATCTCGTGCACAGTTTGCATGGGTACAGATATTTTAGTAGGAACTAAAAGGAAATTATTAGTAATTATTCCAAGCAGAGGGGGCAGTAGGCGAGGACTGAACCTCAACAGGATCCCAAAGCCAGGGTGAGTAAGAAGGGCTATGAGAGCTGTTCCTAAGAGTGATTCCTAATGTAGCCCAGAGACCATGCCTTTGGCAACTAGGGAAAACTCCCAGATTTGCCCCTGCCAATCACAAATATAGAACTCCTTGGGCCTCAGTGTCTCCACCTGCAAAATGAGAGGGGCTTAGGGAGCTGGACGAGGAACTAAGGGCCTACTCAGTTCTGACCAGCTGTGGCCCACAGTCTCCCTTCGTGTCAGCCACACTCAGCCTCTCTCAGCTCTTCAATGTATTTGGCTCAGCCCCACAACAGAGCCTTGGCCCAGTCCCTACCTCCCACCACTGGAACACCCCTGTGTGCCCCCTTAGGTCCCAGTCAGAATCTCTGAGCTTGTGGGCCACTCAGAACACCTAGTCCAAACCCCTCCAAGGCAGAGTCCCCCTAATACTCCTGACAGGTGGGCCACACCCATCCAGAGCCCCCCAAATCCTTCTTCTCTATAATTTCCTCTAGTCACCTGAACTCTAGCATCAAGTTCCTGAATGCCAACTTTGCTACTTCCTGACAAATGGCCTTCTGACAGTACTATACTAGGATCAGTTTCCACCCCCAAAATGGATGGTTTGTGTAAGGACAAACCACGTACACAAGTGGTAGAGCACTTGCCTATCATGTGTGAGGCACTGGATTTGATTCTCAGCACCACATAAAAATAAATAAAGGTCCAACAACAACTAATAAAAAATTTTAAAAAAAAGCTTAGGGGAAATGTCCTTGGACTTTTTTTCCATATCCTTCAGTTTGAGGGTAACAAGTGGTACTATCAGTAAAGTTCTTAGTACAGCTGCTGACATTCAGAAGGGCTTAGTCACTCTGCAAGTCACTGCCCTGTATGACTAAGTTATCTTTACAAAATGGGGGAACTAACACCAGGCACCGTGGTACACACCTCTAATCCCAGCAACTCAGGAGGCTGAGGCAGGAGGAGCACATGTTCAAAGTCAGTGAGACCCTAAGGAACTGAGTGAGATCCTGTTTTAAAATAAAAAATAAAAAGTACCAGGGATGTAGCTCAGTGGTACAGCACCCCTGGGTTTCATCTCCCATACTTAAATAAATCAATCAATAAATGAAGGGGGCGGGACAATGGAACCTATTTCATAGAGTCAATCACTCACTCATTTATTAATTCATTCAATGATCTTTATAGAATACCTACTGAGTGCCACACAGTATTGGGTGAAGAGTTATGGAAAATAAGTTTACTACAAAATAGCCCCCAAAGGAAAGCAGAGAGACAGTGAAGCTCAGGAGGAGGGAGAGGAAACTAGCCAAGCATTAAGCTTCCAGGAGATCCTTTCTTGATCACAATGGACCCTGAAAGAAGGAGACAAATACTGAAACTCTGGGAGACAATAAATTCCAGAAAAAGAAATACCCATTTCTCACCATTTGGACTCTGATCTCTCCAAGTAACAATGAGTTTCCACCTTTCACAGCTGCCCTCCTGTAAAACAGTTGCTGTTTTACAACTGTTTTAAACAAGTTGCTGTTTTACCCTACCTAACCAGCCCCTGACTGTCCAAATGGCACACCCACAACTTCCAATGATGAAACCACCCCAGTTGTACCCTATAAAACCCAAATCCACTCTGTAATTGATGGCCATTTTCACATCCAGAAATGAGTCTCTATGGCCCCCGAGTCCAAGAAGAACAATAAATGGCTTCTCTGAATCTGTTGAGGTCTGCACCCATCATGTTGCCCTTATATGGGGCACTAGGAGATTTGGCAGTAAGGAAAATGCATTAATTATACCAACTCTCATGGAATTCCCAGAAAATTGTGAGCATAAAATACAAAAACAAACACTAAAAGATAAATTGCCAGTGGGCTGAGGTTAAGAAGGAAAATTCAAAGGTGTATGGAAACTCAGCAGGAAAGTGTCAGGGAGACTTCATGAGGGATAGGGAGCAGGGCACAGCTGGCGATTCAGGAGGACTTCCTGTGGGAGGAATCGCCCCATTTAATCTTTCCCACTATCCTCAGCACAGGCGTAGGAGGAAGGCACTAGTTATCATTTTACATTTCTGTGAGACTAAGAGAAATTCAGCGACTTGCCCCAAGTCATGGAGCCATGACCAGACAGGTTTCAAACCCACATTTTCTGGCTTCAGAGTATCAGACCTAAAAACCTGTCTTCTATTGCCTGTTTGAATGGGCTGATCCTGGGATACAGGGAGGCATGGGAGGTAGAGGTGCAGACCTCAACAGATTCAGAGAAGCTGTTTATGGTTCTTCTTGGACTCGGGGGCCATGGGGATTCATTTTCTGGATGTGAAAATGGCCATCAGTTACAGAGCGGGTTTTGGTTTCACAGGGTATGACTGGGGTGGTTTCATCATTAGAACTTGTAGGTGTACCATTCGGACAGTCAGGGGCTAGTTAGGTGGCTTAAAACTTTTAGCTTGGGGCTGGGATTGTGGCTCATCGGTAGACGGATCGCCTAGCACGGGCAGGACTGGGGCTCGATCCTCAGCACCACGTAAAAAAACAAAGGCATTGTGTTGTATCCATCTACACCTAAAAAATAAATATTAAAAAAAAAAACAAAACACTTTTAGCTCAGGAGGGCAGCTATAAAAGATTGAAATTCTCCAACAAGCCTCCCAGTCTAGTACTGTAGGAGACAAAAAAGGCAGAGATGGTTCTTTCTAAACCACATTGGAATTCAGATCTTCCAGCCCAACCAACAAACACCCCAACTAGTGTAAACACGGCTGTCAGCCTTGAATCCAGTCTGGAAAGTTCCCTTAACCCCTAACTCTTCCCGCTCTGTTTTCAGCTTTGGGCAACAACTGGTACCCCAACCTAAGTATTATCAAGACCAAAATAGTCCCCAGAGACAAAAGCAATGCCAGGCTGCAGGACTGCAGAGGACTACTTCTTCCTGACCCAGGGCAGCTGTCGCCTTTCATCTTTCCTTCCCTGCCACTCTGAGGCTGGGTGGTCCTTCCACCCCCACATCCCACACCCTCCTCCCTCTTTTCCTCCTTCTCCACTGCTTCCCTTGAGAAATAGCAAAGCTTATTCTGGAGCTGAACAATGGGCTTGAATTTGGCTCTAGTACTTTCTGTGTGACTTTGAGCAAATTCACTTCTTTCTTCATTTGTGTTTAGGAAGGGAGAATGTAAAGTACTTCATAAATTGTGGAAATAAAATGAGTTAGTAGTTGTACAGTGCTTAGAACAGTGCCTGGCAAAGAGAGACTAGGATATGGTGTTTGTATAATAAATGCCCTAGGATGTTCAATCAAAGCTAAGGTGGGAGAGATGGGGGAGGGAGGGATGGGGGGTTGGGATAAACAAGACATGGGAGGGACCCCACCTCTTCTCTGATCACTATGAAAATCTCTCCAGACCCAGGACACTTGGCTGTAATAATTCTCTACTTTGGCTGATGGGTCTTCTTTTTAAATCCTGACACGACCACATTATTTGCCTGTTCGAACCCTGCAGCGGTTCCCCCACTGCCTGCTGGATAAAGCTGCCTATGGGCCCTTCAGGACCTCATCCCAGAACTCCCCAACCTCATCTTTCCCATCTTTGCACCCCCCTGGATCCCTGGTCCAGACTTGCTGGAAAATGTGCCCTCCAATCCTGGGTCCCCAGCACTTTCTCTCTCCTTCCCCTGATGTCCCCTCCCTCGCCTTTCCCTCTGCGTGTTGCCCTCTTCCCTCCTCCTCCTCTATTAGGGCTGTGGCCATATGAAAGCAGTCCCCGAGGGAGGGAAAAGGAGAGTGAGGAAGAGACGGCAACTCTCAGAGCTGCAGTTTTCTCAGCTTCAAAAGGAAGACAATAAGAAAAGGGACCTCTCAAGATCAAAGGGAAGGATGGAACAATAAGTGAACACTCAGGAAACTAGGAAGTGGCTCGTTAGCATGGAGTGATTGCTAAAGGGCTGTGGGGGGCGGGGCGCCCAAGCTGCTGTTCCCTCAGCCCCTTCATTCCCAGACCCTGACGCCCAAAACCCTGCAGACCCAGGAGATAAATGAAGAGGAGAGGACGGGGAGGGGGCCAATATAGAAGGAAGTGAAGTCCAAGGGAGGCGAGAGAGAGAAGCTTGCGGTTGGAGCCCCGCGGCTCCTAGGAGTCAGAGGAAGGGTGACCCGGGATGCTCTCCCCACCCCCTTGCTCCGGTCCCTTCCCAAGGGGGCTGTCCCCATCCGGCCACAGCCTGGGCAGATGGGGGTGGGGCGGTGCGGCGCCAAGAAGAATGAATAATTGAAGTAGAGGGAGGAGGAGGAGGAAGAGGAGGAGGAGGAAGAGGAGGAGGCGGGAGCCGCCCGCACAGGGTCCTCCCCGCTCCGCACCCCACCCCCTCCGCCGCCCGGAAGTCGCTCCCCGCCTCCTGCTCCGCCAACATGGCCGCGAAGTCGGATGGAGCGGCGGCCGCGGCCGGCCCGGGGCCGGAGGGGGCTGCCGGAGGCGCCCGCGGCAGTACGGGCGGGCGCGGGGAGGCGGCGGCGGTGGCCGGGGGCCCCGGGGTGGTCGGGGCGGGAGGCCCGGGGCCGCGCTACGAGCTGCGGGACTGCTGCTGGGTGCTGTGCGCGCTGCTCGTGTTCTTCTCCGACGGCGCCACCGACCTGTGGCTGGCGGCCTCCTACTACCTGCAGGGTCAGCGCACCTACTTCGGCCTCACGTTGCTGTTCGTGCTCCTGCCCTCGCTGGTCGTGCAGCTGCTCAGTTTCCGCTGGTTCGTCTACGACTACTCCGAGCCCGCGGGGGCCCCGGGACCTGCCGCCAGCACCAAGGACAGCGGCACCGGCGGAGCCGCCATCAGCACCAAGGACAGCGCCGTCGCCTTCAGGACCAAGGAAGACAGCCCCGAGCTGAGCCCCCGGCCCGCGCCCTCCTCGGCCAGCGCCTACCGCCGCCGCTGCTGCCGCCTCTGCGTCTGGCTGCTGCAGACCCTCGTCCACCTCCTGCAGCTCGGCCAGGTCTGGAGGTAGGACAAGAGCAGGTGGAGGGAGTTAAGTCTGAGGAGTGTGGGGACAAGGAGCTGCCTGTCGCCCCAGCCCTACTCTGACCTTTCCAGGTTCCCTTCTTGTCCCGACCTCTGCCCCGCCCCACCCCATTGCAGCTCCCATTTCTTCTCAGTCAGCTGCTCCTGACCTCTGCCCCCCTGACCTTGTCCAACCCGAGTCATCCCCTCAGATCTGCCCATTGCAGGAGGAGGGGATGGGGCAAGAAGGGAGAGAAAAAGATCTTCAGGGGCGTGTGAGTGAGGAGGACCAGGGCTCCTGAGGATACTGAGTCTTGGAACAGGGCCACAGGGCTGCCTCCAGCCCTGACGCCTCCTCTTTGTCCGAGTGCTGAGCCCAGAGTTAGGAAAGATCTCAGAAGTCCTTTCTTGTTCTCAAAGAAGCTCAATTTGGAAATGCAGCCCCTTCCCAACCTCTCAGGAGAGACAGGATTTGAGGCAGCTAAATGACCATCCTGCCTAAACTTCTTGGGCTTTTTGGGAAAGGGTGTGCTGGACTCAGAGAAGAAGCTTTCTGCCTTCTTCTGCTTCCTAAGGACTCCCTCAGTGCCCTCCACCTCCAAAAGGGCCAACAGGATCTGGAATCTTGCATCTGACATTAAATGGTCATTGGCTGCCCTTTAATCCTAGGACAGTAAGGCAAAACTGAGGCTTTGTGCAAGCTGCTCACTTCCAGGCTTCCTTCTCTGCCAGGACTGAAGGTGCCTGCTGTGATGAGTTAATTGGTGAGAGGGGAATTCTAAACCTAGGGCTCCTCTTGAATTCAAACTGCTCTAGTACTTTGGGTCCTCCCATGCAGTGCCAAGATGAGTACACTTACTCGGTGATCACAGGCAAACCTCCTCCTCCCTCTGAGCCTCAGTTTCCTCATCTGTGAAATGAGGGAGGATCCCGACTCTTCTCATTTCATTGGCTTAACTTACCTTTCCTTACCTTTTTAACCTGTTGGGATGGTCAGGTGAGACAAGGTCTGCGAGAGGACCTTGAAAACTGGGACCTATTTGGGGACTGTAATGGATGATCCCGCTTCTAACAGATGTGGGGGAAGCATAAGAAAAGTCACTCTAGAAATATAAAGGGAGATTCTTGCTGTTGTTATATTTACTCTGCTACTTGTTAACACATTTTGCCTAACTCAGAAGATTCAGTTCTGGGTTGAGGGTTGGAAACAGGACTCCCAGGGTTTGTCCCAGCTGCTCACTTGCTGTGTCACCCTTGTTGTGTTGCCAGTTCTTTCTCTGCCTTGGTTTCCTCATCTATACCTGCCAAGATAATGTATATATTGCATTTAGTTTGCCCCAGGGGGAAAAAGGGGATGGAGTACTATCCACACAAGGTGGTGTTATTATTATTAGCTCAACACATAAAAATATTCATGTCTACATCCAGGAACTAATCTGCATTTATCATTCTGTGCCCGAGTGGACAGATGGTGAAAGTTATTTTTAGATTCTGAAATGGTAACTTCCTATTCTTGGTAGCCAAAGCTTCATCCCCCTTTCCCTTCAGCCTAAAGTGGGCCAGCTGCCCCACGACTCCCTGGCTACCCTCCTCCCCATTCAGAATCCACTCACAAGAAGTGAATAGGTCTCTTCTTCCTCGATCATAGACTGAGTTTCCTTCAAATAGGGAAAAAATGACCACAGGCAGGTGTTCTCGGGGGAGTGACTGGAAACAGCTAAGGGTTCACTGAGCGCCATGGCTTCTTAGATAAAAGAGCTATTTCCACTGTCTCCTAAGTGAGGGAGTTTGGAGGAGATGACTTTGCTGGGATAGCAATCTAATGGCCATGGGGTGGAATCTGGCTCTGGAAGTGTGTTGTGTGGCTTGTATAGTATTTTTAAAACCCAGGGTCCTAGCTTCTCTTGGGGGAAAAAAAAAGATTGGCTGTGGCAGCATCAGGCCTGTAACAGTATAGACCGGATATGTGTACTCTAGCTTCTCTGCTCTTCCCTTTGATTACATCTGGACCATTTCTCTTAGGCATGAGAGCATTCATTTAGCACGAGAGCCCTAACTTATGGTTCTATAACAATTATTTTATGAAGCATTCATTTTGTTCCAAGCCTACTGGTTGCCTTCTTACCTGCTGTATCTCCTATATCCCTCCTAATAATTCTGTCATGTAGTTAGTATTATAATTTTTACTTGACAGATGAGGGAATAGAGGCTAAGAGAGGGGGCATCCTTGCCCAAGGTCACACAGCAAGGGGTTAGAAGAGCCAGGATTCAAAATTCTCTGCTTTCAAAGCCCAAGTTCAATTTATTCACCATGTAATTCTGCCACTAAAATGTCCCCCGTGCTCAAAGAATTATGAGCCTGAGATTCCAAGATTCCAGGATGATAGAAAGTCAGACTTCTGTTGTACTGAGATAAGAATGTGAAAAGAGGGAGAGGGAGTTGTTCCATCAGGGTGAAGACAAGGAAATAGTGTATACTCTGAGGGAAATGCTGGATTGGAGGAGGTACTTTCAGGAGACTTACATCTTCATCTTTGTTTGCAAGTGACCTTGGGTCAGGCTTTTCCCACCTCTGGGCCTCAGTTTCCCTATGTTTGAAATGAGAAGATTAGATTGGATGACTTTAAGAGGCAGAATGTGCCTTTGTGGTCCTCATAACACGCTAGCATGGTGCTGGGAAGTGACTTGCTCAGAACAGCTTAAGGTCATCTTTAGACTTGGGGACTTTCCCTCTAATACCCTCTCTATGTCTAGGCTACAACATTTCTCCCTCTGCCTCCTAATAAGCCCTTTACTCCAGAGGGGTTCTGAAATGAGTTTGTGACCTGATGGTGCTTCATTCCCTGCACAGAACAGAGATGGCTTGAAGAGAGAAGTGGGGCTGATGTCTGCAGAGAGCTGGGAAGGAATTACCCACAGCTGACTGTTCTCTTTGAATTCAGATTGTGCCATCAATTAGGAGAGATTTCGTAGAAATGGCTATGGAAATGAAAAATCCACATATAAGGTCACATTAATCATGTGAGAATTCTGACTCTGGGTCTAAATGACTGACCAGAGCTAAAGTCTCCAGACCCTTTTTCAGAAGCTTGGGCTCCTAAATGTCTAAGAACCTGGCTGAATAGGGGGAAATCTGGAGAAGGTATAGAGAAATCACTGGGACTGGCTTTCCTAGAAATTAAGCAGTGTTAGCACAACATGTTTGCTTACTATGTGAGATGTTCTCACAGATGTGCTGAGTGGCAGGAACAGGGGTAACAAGAAAGGAGGTGTGTATCTGAGCCCTGCAGAGTCAAACCTGGGAGGCTAGCCAGCCACTCACCTCCTAAGCCCGTGCTCCCAATCCTGAATAAAATAAATTTAATCTTAAAGATTTTTTTTCAATTCTTCAAGCTTATATAATGCTGGATCAAAAGCCCAAGTGCTTTGGGAAACCAGGCAGGTAACACGGACATAAGGCACAAGGAGGGTCAGACAAGGGGATATTATGGGGAAGAAGCATCCTGGAAGAGGAAGTCCCACCTTGCTATCCTGACAGTGCCAAGGGAAATCATGGCCCCAGAGTTGTCGAGTCTTGATTTCTCAAGAGAAATGGGAAATTGGAGTTTTTGTGTGAACTTTCCCAATTTTCAATTACCAATTAAGATATTTTAAAATAATATTAACCAAATGAAACACATTTGTGCACCTAACTTCTTGTAACCTCAGGCAACTTCTTTACAACTGATAAGTCCCTTTCACACAGATGTTATATAATCTTAAACATAAAATGAGAGAATTCACCCTGCAGGACCCATGTGAGGTGTTCCAGGCTTACAATCTCATCTCACCTTGACATCTCCCCTCTGATGGCTATTGATAACATCTATTTATTGGACAAGGAAGTTAAGGCTCAGAGAAGTCAAGAAACTCGCCCAAGGTCACTTGCTGAGTACGTGGGAAAGAAGTGAGGGGCCTACCCAGCTTTGCACGATTACCAAGCCCAGCTCTATCCCAGGCATCCCACGCCGATTATGTTGGGGGATCCCAGAGCAAAGTCTCTGTGCAGCAACAGATTTAATTCTTGAGAGAAGAGCAAATAGACCTTTTCAGCCAGATCCTCTGGCTGTGGGCTGGACACCAGCCCGTCTTCATCCCCCCCCACGCCACCCCTCTATCAACCCCCTGAGCTGTTAAGCCACTGAGGGCTGTTAAGCCAATTAAGGTCCTAACCCTGTCTCCTCTGACCCTATGGGCAGCGGAGCAGTAAGCCATGAATCCTGCTTTCCCTAATCTTGAACTCATGGGCCCCAGCTTTGCCCAGATAAGCATGGTTTGCTAAGCCAATTAGTGTGAGACGGCCTAGCCCGGGATTCCTTCTGGGCTGTCAGGATCTGGACACCTTGAAGTGGAGAAGGGGGGAGGCATTCAGGCTTTGGGGGCCTCCCTTAACACCTCTCCGAGTCTCGGCGGCAGCCCTGCTCCCTGTGCCTCCTAACAAGCCCTGCACTCCAGAGAGGTTCTGAGATGAGTTAGTGGCGTGAAGTGTACAGGTGGGCTCTGGGAAGCTATATTCTTGGTATAATGTTAAGAGCATGGACCCTAGATTCAAATGTTCTCAGCTCAAATCCTGACCCTACTACTTCCTATAGGTGACCATGAGGAAGCCACATAATTTCTCATCCCTCCTAAAACAGGGACTGTAATTGGACCCACCCACCTCTTGGGTCATTGGGGTTTAATGAGATAATGTGTACAGGGGTTTAGCAAGGGGCAGGTCCCACTATTAAGTGTTCAAAAACCCTTGGCCACAATTAGTGTGTCATCAGCCTGGGATTTTCTATTTGTGGAGCAAAGGTTTATTCACTGAACAGGCAGCCCCTGAGGCCATAGTGACATGGTGGCCATTCATTAATCTGAATTTATTCACTCAGCAGCTAGGCCCTGAAAGAGGGAGCTGGGAGAATTTGTCTGGAGGAGGAACAGGGTCTTAACTTGTGTTTTGCAATGTCCACTCTGGCCAC